AAAATAAAAATAAAAATAAAAATTAAGACTAACTCTTTTACTTAATAGAAGACTAACCAAAAATAAAAATAAAAATAAAAATTAAGACTAACTCTTTTACTTAATAGAAGACTAACCAAAAATAAAAATAAAAATAAAAATTAAGACTAACTCTTTTACTTAATAGAAGACTAACCAAAAATAAAAATAAAAATAAAAATTAAGACTAACTCTTTTACTTAATAGAAGACTAACCAAAAATAAAAATAAAAATAAAAATTAAGACTAACTCTTTTACTTAATAGAAGACTAACCAAAAATAAAAATAAAAATAAAAATTAAGACTAACTCTTTTACTTAATAGAAGACTAACCAAAAATAAAAATAAAAATAAAAATTAAGACTAACTCTTTTACTTAATAGAAGACTAACCAAAAATAAAAATAAAAATAAAAATTAAGACTAACTCTTTTACTTAATAGAAGACTAACCAAAAATAAAAATAAAAATAAAAATTAAGACTAACTCTTTTACTTAATAGAAGACTAACCAAAAATAAAAATAAAAATAAAAATTAAGACTAACTCTTTTACTTAATAGAAGACTAACCAAAAATAAAAATAAAAATAAAAATTAAGACTAACTCTTTTACTTAATAGAAGACTAACCAAAAATAAAAATAAAAATAAAAATTAAGACTAACTCTTTTACTTAATAGAAGACTAACCAAAAATAAAAATAAAAATAAAAATTAAGACTAACTCTTTTACTTAATAGAAGACTAACCAAAAATAAAAATAAAAATAAAAATTAAGACTAACTCTTTTACTTAATAGAAGACTAACCAAAAATAAAAATAAAAATAAAAATTAAGACTAACTCTTTTACTTAATAGAAGACTAACCAAAAATAAAAATAAAAATAAAAATTAAGACTAACTCTTTTACTTAATAGAAGACTAACCAAAAATAAAAATAAAAATAAAAATTAAGACTAACTCTTTTACTTAATAGAAGACTAACCAAAAATAAAAATAAAAATAAAAATTAAGACTAACTCTTTTACTTAATAGAAGACTAACCAAAAATAAAAATAAAAATAAAAATTAAGACTAACTCTTTTACTTAATAGAAGACTAACCAAAAATAAAAATAAAAATAAAAATTAAGACTAACTCTTTTACTTAATAGAAGACTAACCAAAAATAAAAATAAAAATAAAAATTAAGACTAACTCTTTTACTTAATAGAAGACTAACCAAAAATAAAAATAAAAATAAAAATTAAGACTAACTCTTTTACTTAATAGAAGACTAACCAAAAATAAAAATAAAAATAAAAATTAAGACTAACTCTTTTACTTAATAGAAGACTAACCAAAAATAAAAATAAAAATAAAAATTAAGACTAACTCTTTTACTTAATAGAAGACTAACCAAAAATAAAAATAAAAATAAAAATTAAGACTAACTCTTTTACTTAATAGAAGACTAACCAAAAATAAAAATAAAAATAAAAATTAAGACTAACTCTTTTACTTAATAGAAGACTAACCAAAAATAAAAATAAAAATAAAAATTAAGACTAACTCTTTTACTTAATAGAAGACTAACCAAAAATAAAAATAAAAATAAAAATTAAGACTAACTCTTTTACTTAATAGAAGACTAACCAAAAATAAAAATAAAAATAAAAATTAAGACTAACTCTTTTACTTAATAGAAGACTAACCAAAAATAAAAATAAAAATAAAAATTAAGACTAACTCTTTTACTTAATAGAAGACTAACCAAAAATAAAAATAAAAATAAAAATTAAGACTAACTCTTTTACTTAATAGAAGACTAACCAAAAATAAAAATAAAAATAAAAATTAAGACTAACTCTTTTACTTAATAGAAGACTAACCAAAAATAAAAATAAAAATAAAAATTAAGACTAACTCTTTTACTTAATAGAAGACTAACCAAAAATAAAAATAAAAATAAAAATTAAGACTAACTTTTTTACTTAATTTATATATATTACATAATTTATTAAATTATATATATATTATATATTATATATTATATAATTTATATAATATATTAAATTGAATTCGGGTTCGGGTTGCTCGGGTTGGCCATTGGTTCTGCCCAAGCCCGGCCCGAATTGCAATTCGGGCATCAAAAATTTGCCCAAGCCCGTCCAGATTACAAGATATAGTTGCCCAAGCCCTAAAAAAACTCAGGCTGGGCTCGGGTTGCTCGGGTTGAGCCCGCCCGAGTTGCACCCCCTACCTGAAAGTCATCCGATGCCCAAGTTAACTATCCAATGTTATAAAAATATTTAATAGATAAATTTCATATCCATGTGATGTAATCTATTTACAACAACAGTGTCTTGCTTAACAAATAGTCTACGTGTTTTAGAAGTCTTTCTCAAACCATCTCCAGTTATTTAGAATTTTTATATCAATACAATCTCATCTCACGATGAGTTTTACTCCATATATAATACTGTTGTGGTGTTGCGTCACGTGACAATATTAAGATCCAAATAATTCTTAATTTTTATTTCCTTTCAAAAAAGTTTGCAGAAATTTGTAGTAGGCATCAAAACCATGACATTACCTTTAATTCAAAAAAAGTAAATGTTGTATGTCTCTCTATCTCATCACCATCACGTGACTTAAATTATTTTTTTTAATAAAAAATTAATTAAAATCAAATCGTATAAACGTGAGAGTGCATTGGATATATCCGTTATGGAAAGCGAGGATCCCGTACGTTGCAATTGGCAACCTATCTTTGCAAGAGAAGATAGATTGAATAGTATTTTAGGAGAAGGACTATCGAGCATTCCATGAACATGCATTGTTGACGTGTGGAAATTTCTTGAAAGAACAAAACAAAAAAACAATACATAACCGAAGAAACATAAATAAAGTTTGAAACGCTTGCTTTTTTATTTGTTTGGGTTGATCATCTTATCTCATCTCTTATGTCTGCTTGTACAAATGTCATGCTTTACTCATGATGGTTTCTGGTCTGTTACAACTGCCTCAAAGCGGACACATACCCACACACACATTACTATCATCTTCAATTCCTTCGCTCTATCTTTGGTTAAAACTATTGAATAGTTTCCATTTTCACCATCACTAACTACTCTACTGTACTAAAACACTTACCCTCTATATGCATTCATTGTTTTTGTTTTCTTTTCTTTTTCTTCTCCATCATTATTATGTTCTTCTTTTTGAATAAATTCTTTGTTTTCTACCATTTTGATGATAGAGGTTTTTTTTCTTTTTTTTTTTTTTCCTATTCAAAACATATCCTTTTCCACAGTAACCATAAAGTGCTGTTGAAATAAGACTCTTTGAGAATTTTTCTGTTTATTGTTTTCTATTTATATTTATTAAAATTTTTAAGTCCCATAAACAAGTGTCTATTTTTATTTTTGAAAACTTGTAAATAGCTTATAAATTTATTAAATTCTTAGTCACAAAAAAATTATTCACTAGAGAAAAAAAAATTCATTCCTTACTCCTTTTTGCACCCCCTCTAGCCACCAACCTATCGAAGTCGACAACCACCTTTGGATGGCGACAATCACCTTCAGGTTTTCCAAAAATCACATTCAGCCACCACCTCCCACTGGGCAACAACCACCACTTGTCAGAAACCATCTCCAGTCATCATCTCCGATCATCGACAATCACTTTCGGCCATCACCTCCCATCAACTACTCATTTCACTTATTTTTAAAACAAAATTTTAAAATATATCTGTTCACCAAATATGTTTTTGTTTTCATTTTTACCAAAAATAAACATAAACATGTATAATTTTTCTATAAACAAAAACAAAGAAACTGTAAATGTTATCAAACAACATTATAGTGCTCTGCTTTCAATTCTATGACTGATATTTATATTCTTAATGTTAATCCCATGAAGTGAGATAATTTCAGTAGTGTAAAGATGTTTGTCGTATCGATAACATACACATATATTTGTTTGCTTTGCACTTTCCTTTTTTTTTTTTTCTTTTTTTTTTGGGAGGGGGGGGGTTAATACCAGTAACGGCTAGTCAATTTTGGAGATCCTACAAAACTTAGTTTTATATAGGGTAAATTATATAAATAGTCTTGTAATTTATACAATGTGTTAATTTGGTTTATATTATTTTAATTTATTTGATTTTGTCCCTTAATTTAATAGATTGTGTCATTTTAGTCCAATAAATAACGGTTGTTAAGTTTGCTAAACGGAAAGTCAAACTATGTGTCAATTTGGTCCATGTAGTTTACACAATATGTCAATTTGGTTTCTGTCAAAATCGAGCAAATTAAAACAAGAACCAAATTGACACATTCTGTAAACTACATGAATCAAATTGACACATTGTGTAGACTTTTTGTCGACCAAACGTAACGATCGTTATTTAGGTCTCGTTTGGCAAGTGGCTTTTTTAGCCAAAAAGTTAAAAAGTTACTAAAAAATTCAAAAAGCCAACAACCTATACCAAAAAATCAAAGATTCCTTTTTCTCTCTATTTTTTGCACATCTTTTTGTAAAAAGCCAAAAATTCATCCAAAACATACTAGTTTTTTTTATATCATATTTTAGCTAAAAAGTCAAAAAGTTACTTAAAAAGTTTGTTCCCAAACAAGGCCTTATTATAGTAAAAGGACACAATCTATTAAATTAAGGAGCAAAATCGAACAAATTAAAACAATAAAGATCAAATTGACACGTCGTATAAAGTATAAAGATTATTTACATAATTTTCCAATTTATATATATCACCATTAGACAGCATTGAGATTCCACACTTTTGCAGACTTGCTTGGGTAAATGAGGTAATTCTTCATTAGATGTGTCCATTATTTTTTTCACCACATAATGCTGTCTATCAATTTCATTTCTTTATCCTCAACAAGTAAAATTTATTCCATCATTTTAATTGTCATTAGTGCCCAAACCCCACCTCTCTCCTCCACTATAATAGAATTCTCTACTATAAATACCCATCACCTTCAAGGCATGTGTCCACCACACTCCTCTACTACCTCCCTATTCTTCCTCATCACCATCTTCTTGCTTATCAACTCTCTATCATTTTCCTTTCCATGGCTTCCAACCAAACATCTCTTCATGACGTGAAATTCTCAATCCCCATTCAAGACGTCGAGCAACAAACAAGCCTAGAAATCGAAGAAAAGGACTTTATTGATTACTCCAAACGGTCCCAATGGTTACGTGCAGCGGTCCTAGGAGCCAACGATGGGTTAATTTCTACTGCCTCTTTAATGATGGGTGTTGGAGCTGTCAAGCAAGACATTAAGGCCATGATCCTCACCGGCTTTGCTGGCTTGGTGGCCGGTGCTTGTAGCATGGCTATTGGAGAGTTTGTCTCCGTTTACTCTCAACTCGATATAGAAGTGGCTCAAATGAAGAGAGACAAGAAAAGGGTTGCTGTTGTTGGCGGTGGTGAAGAGAGAAAAGAAGAAGAAGAAGAGAGAGAGGGAGAGAAGGAGAGTTTGCCTAATCCGGTGCAGGCAGCTTCAGCTTCGGCTCTTGCTTTCTCAGTTGGTGCAATGGTGCCATTGCTAGCTGCATCATTTATAAGGGAGTATAAGGTAAGAGTAGGGGTGGTAGTTGGAGCAGTGAGCTTGGCTTTGGTGGTGTTTGGGTGGTTGGGGGCTACTTTAGGAAAGGCACCAGCTGCTAGGGCTGCAATTAGGGTATTGGTTGGAGGGTGGCTAGCTATGGCCATTACCTTTGGTTTGACAATGCTTATTGGTTCAAGTGGGCTTTAAACAACTATTGTATGTTTTAGTTTTGCTTAATGCTAAATATAAACAGATCTTTTATCAGATTTTTTTATTATTAGACACAAAATTAATAGGATCCACATTAATAAATACATGTGGAATTCATATTTTATGTCTAATGATAAAACAATCAGATAAAAATACGTTGTTGTGTAATATATATATATATATATGTATATATACGTTGTTGTATATATTTTTGCTTGTATGTTAAGTTTTGTTTGCCCTCCGTATATGGTTTTTCTTTGTTTTGGTCAAGTGGGCTTTAACTGTCTCTACCTTTTTTTTCTTTTTTCTTTTTTCTTTTTTTTTGGGTTTTTATATTGTTGAAATGCCCGTGGAAGAGCATTCCCTTTGACTGGGGTGCTTGAAAGAAAAGGAAGGGAAAAGGACGAAGAATTTTGCTTTCTTGTATCGTTTTATGTATCAAAAAAATAGAATGTTGGTGTATCTCTCTCTCTCACGATGCATAATGGTTATACAACAATGATTCATCTCACTAAAAACATTATCATTAATAGCACTAATGTATTAAAAAATAAAAAAAATAAAATACAACTCCAAGACCAAAACATCACATCATTAATGGCGGGACCTACTGCCACCTAATTAGTAGGAGCACTAATTAGTGCTCTCAAGCATTTTTCATGGTTATAAGGCCTATTCAACAATAATATTTCATTTGTCTCAAAATAATAACTCTTTTTAAGAGATTTAACTTTTTTTGGTAATACAATTATTATACTTAAAAAATATGTGCTTATTTTCATTTTTCAAAAAAAAATTTCAAAAAATTCTACTTTCTTATTTTTCATATTTTTTTTGTTTTTACTAAATTTTTTTAATATTTTAAGCAATTTTTTTACTTTTTAGACAAAAATTGTAAAAAAAATATTTTAAAAATTCACTAAATACCAAAAAATACAAAAAAATACAACAATTTAGTACATATTTTGTATTTTTATATATTTATTAATTTTTTAAAATATTTTTTCACAATTTTTTTACTTTTTAGATACATCTAAGTAAGGTGCATCTAAAAAAGTAAAAAAAAAATGTTTAAAATTTTAAAAATATTCACTAAAAATAAAAAAATACGAAAATTAAAAAACTCAATTTTCAAAAAACTTAATCCAGAAAACTCAAACCAAACACACTAATTTTTTGAAATTATCCTTTGGTAATACATTTTTTTTTAAATATCAATTGTCATAATTTTACTTTTTTGTTGTTAATGAATTTAAAAGAATGATAAAATAAGAAATTCATATTATTTTAGTCTTTAATTTTTGAAAATGAACTAATATTTTAGGATAATAAAAAATAAAATAATTGACTAATATTTTGAAACAGAAAGAGTATTACATGTGCATTCTTTGAAAATGAAACATGTGGATGATATTTATTTTTGGCATTGTCTACCTTACATCAAATTTAAACTAACAACACATATTTTAGGATAAATTACACTTGTCCCCTGAGATTTCTAATAAATATAAGGACATCTCCTATAATTTTAATAATTACAGTAACTTTTCTTATTTTATCTAACAATGTCAATATTCTTCCATTTCATCAAAGGTATACAAATGACGTTAGTAACCTATACAAAATAATCATATTAACCTTACTTTTGCATGCAAAAAGATAAAAATGCCATTTATTCACAAAATCCCTAATCATATGGCTATATTCATAATAGAAATTGAATTTGAGAGAGAGAGAGAGAGAGTCGAACGATGAATGTGAAGAAACAGAATTGGGAATACTCATCCAGTCATTTCAAAGTTTACCTCTTTGCACCATTTTCATCTCACCATGGCCTCAAACATCCAAGTTCTCCATTTGAATGTTTCTTTTGAAGGGCGCACACTCTCCAAGATGATCATAAAGAGCACTCTTGTCAATCCCCTGATGGTTATAGCTCTTGCAAACATAGAAAAACACACACTGCACTATCAAACCCATCAAATTCACAATCACCATAACCTCAACCAAGAACCCACCAACCATAATCCTCACAAAAATTCCATAACCCTCACCATGAACCAACACATCTCCAAAAACCCGATTATTCACCCCGCAAATTGCCAGGTACCGGAAAACAAGCACGACCGCTATTCGGGTCCTCCCCTTTAACAACTCATAACTCTTCTCCATTGTCGCGAACCCAAAAATCGGTTCGAGTACCGAAACCACACTAGCTAAATGCCACAAAGCAGTGATGTAAACAAGAACAACAAGAAACAGAATAAAAATCACAACTATTGAGAAAAACAACAAAATTAGATTTTGGGTATGTAACGACCCCACCACGTATAATGATTCGTACTTAATTAATTAAGGAGATTTGAAATTTAATTGTCAATTATTCTAATTTAATCTGAGATTTACGAAAATTATGGAAATTGATTCATATATGATTCTATTGAGAATTTATTTTGAAATTAGAAATTGAAAGCCTAAATGGTTTAAGATAGTACAAATGGTGAATTGAATTATTTTAATTTCGAGTATCGGACCGTATAAGAGTTTAATTCAATATTCAATTCAGATTTATAAAATTGAGATTTGATTAATTGGGTCTGAAATAGAATTAATTAAGTTATACAAATTAGGAATTAAGATTATTGTGGTATTCAATTGAGTATGTTATTTATTGACGAAGATTTTGGAGTTTAATCCGAAATTGAAGACCTTAATGATTTAAGAAACTAAAATTGATGATGAAAATAAGTTTAATTTAATATTTGAAGTTTTTTGAAAGTTTGATTAAAAGCCTGATTCAGAATGATAAATTTGAATATAATTAATTGGGCTCTAATATAAGTCAAATTAAACAAATTAAATTATGTAGGACTTGTGATTAGTTATGATTAATTTAATTATGATCAAGATTAAGTAAAATTAAGGAGTGATTAATTCAGTTAATAGATAATTAGTGATTAATCTAATTCTACTCAATTAATTAACATTGTTTGTGTATATCAAAGAGGGTTCTAGAGAGTGAGAGATGTCAATGGGTTCAATTATATGTATTAGTGCTTGTGCTGGAGCCCGTTCATTCATTTGTTGCCTACGACTCTAGAGATAGAGAGAGAGAACCGAGAGAGAGAGAGAGAGAACTAAGAGAGAGAGAATTCAATTCTTTTGTTGAAAAAGAACCTTGTTGTTGGAAATAATGAAGTACGCTCAAGTGAAAAACTAAAGAATTAACAGAGGAAGTTAGAGTAAGTCAAAAATTGAGTAGGAGACTCGAGAAGTCAACATCATTAGGTAAATATTTATCCTAATTTTTGTAGATAATTTAGTTAAAAGTTGAAATTAAGAAAGTTATGAAATCATTCTCATGATTTTTGTAAGAAATTGGGTTTTAAGTGATAATTAAGTTAGGTTCATGGTTGTAGAAATTAATTTGAAAATTAATTATTTTGGGTTTTAATTTTGATTATTAACCTATGCATGTAATGTAATTTAAGAGTTTGATTCAAATTAAACATATTTTAAAACATCTATGATTATAAATTAAATTGAGGTTAAAAATTGAGTTAAGTTTACGATTAAGGAAATAAGTTTGGAAAGTAGTTAGTTTAAGTTTGATTTTGTCAGTCTTCATAAATTTGAAACTCAACCTTACATGCATCATGGAATTTTAAGGTTTTGAGATTTTAATTCATATTTTGAGTTTGAATTTGAATTTGATATGAGGAAAATTAATAAAAATCTAAATTAGAGCAATTCAAGATTTTAATTATAGTTTGAGCTTGATGATGTAGAATTTGTTGGATTTTGATAAATGTTTCATGCATGCAAATAATTTTCTAAGAAGTTTATAACTTTAATTTCATGTTTTGAAGAAAAATAGAAAGAGCTTGAAGTCAATTTTATGTAATTAAAAAGAAAATGAGGAATTGGAGCCTTATTCAAATTTATGTTAATTAATTTAGAAAGTAATCTCTTTGGGTTTGAATTTAGTTGTCTCAACATGAAATTGAGTTTCAATTGTACATGCATCATGAATGTTTAAGAATTTTGGAAGATCAATTTATGTTTTAGAATTTATGGGTTTGAAATTGGGCTTGATATAAAGAAAATGAATTAAATTTAAATTCGGATAAACATGGAAATATATTGTAATTTATATTTGAGAATCAAAAATTAATTTGAATTTGATTTTGATTTGATTTTATACATACAAATATTTTTTAAAAGGGCTTTATAGATTCAATTTTAAGTTTCATGAAATAAAGAAAGAATTGAAAGATTTTTTTTTTTTTAAACTTGAAGTCCAAGATTTAAATGTGAATTAAAATTATGGAATTTTGAAATATAGGTGGAATTAACTTTAAATAAATGTATTTGGGAATATTTTTGCATATTCAAGTGAGTAATGTGTGAATTTGGAACCTTGGTAATGTGTTTTGAATTTTAAACAACATTTTGAAAAACTCAGAATTCGTCACCATCGCTCGAGCGAAGAAGTTGTCGCTTGTGCGTAGAATACAAGCAAGCAGTATTTTTGCAGATCAAAGGGTCCACTCGAGCGACCAATGTTGTGCTCGAGCGAAGAGTCGTGTTTCAAAAAAAATTTAAAAATCGTTTCATATTTCGATTTCCATTCTCTTTTACTTCCAAGCATTCTTAGGCAAGAATTATGACTCAACAAGATTAATAAACTACCAATTAACATAAATTAGTTGGTTAAAGAATAAGTCATTGACTTAGTAATAATTGATTAAGAAGCCAAGTAAGAAATTGGTTTATTTAGAAAAGAATAATTTAGTAATGAAAGAATATGTGAAACGAGAACCCGATTCATTTGAATAAAGAAAGAATAAGCGTAGTAGACCTTTAGATTATTTAAACAGAAGACAAGAAAAGTCAAGTTTAATCAAGGAATTAATATTGTGTTGCAATGTGTATATGTTATATGTTTGTGTAGGTCATGCGCTATCGTTTGCCTGATCTATCTGATTTGTCTGCATTATCTGATCTGTTAACGGAGCTATCTGTGAGTAATAACTCTGTAAAGTCATGTTTAACTTTAATTATTTTCTAATGATATGAAATGATCAGTTTTCTAAAATGTTATGTTTTGAATAAATGAATGATTGTCCAAATTTCTGAAATGTATTTGTGGCGTCCTTAGCATCATATGATATGTGTCCCTTTTATGGGTCTTCGGAATGCCTTTATGGTCGTCCCTTCATGGGTCATCGGAATGCCCTATGGCCGTCCCTTTATGAGTCATCAGAAACGTCTCTGTGCACATGAGTCCTTGGAATGCCTTCAAGGTCGTCCCTTGATAGGTCATCGAATCTATTAGCGCTAATGGATGTACCACGTATGATCATATGTAAAATCTGAATATGAAAATGAATATGAACATGTACAATAATATGTTTTTGATTTGGAATCTGAATATGCATAAGACTCTGTTTTTTATAAGA